GGACAAATTTGTTTTCACTTTAATGTTATTAATGATGACGGGTGACCTGATAGAAGTTTGCAAAATTGTGTGGGAAGTAGTTAGCAATTTGGGGTGACACGGTGGCTCAGTGGTTAGCACTGCTGCCTCACAGCGCCAGGGACCCGGGTTTGATTCCACCCTCGGGCGATAGTCTGTGTGGAGTTTGCACATTCTCCCAATGTCTGCGTGGGTTTCCTCCCACTGTCCAAAGATGTGCAGGTTAGGTGGACTGGCCATGCTAAATTGCCCATCGTGTTCAGGGATGTGTAGATTAGGTGGGTTATAGGGGGATGGGTCTGGGTGGGATTCTCTGAGGGCCGGTGTGGGCTTGTTGGGCTGAAGGGCCTGTTTCCACACTGTAGGGATTCTATGATTCATGATTCTATGATTAGAATGGATAATCAGAGTCTTTTTCACAGGGTAGAAATGTCAAATACAGGAGACATAGATTTGTGGTAAAAAGGGAAAGTTTAAAGGACACATGAGAGGCACATATTTTTTGCACAGAGGATAGTAGGTGCTTGGGATGTGCTGCCTGCCAAGGTGGTAGAAGTGGATGTGAAGCACTGTTTCAGAAGTATCTTGACAGGTGCATTAATAGGGAGGGAATAGAGGGATATAGAGGCAAAAGCTTTTAATTCAGAAACGTGTCATGTATCGGTGCCAACTTGGTGGGCGGAATAGACTGTGTTGTACTATTCTTTTTTCTAACCTCACGTTTACCCACATTGGGCACATGCATGGCCAATGCGGTGCAATCACTCAATGTTTCCATAATCCTGCTGAAACATCTGTACATCATCCTCGTAATTTATCCTCCCACCCAGCTTTGTGTCATTTTCAAATCTGAAGATATTGCATTTCATTTGCTCATACTAAATTTTTACTGTATAGTGTGGACGGCTGGGATCCAAGCATTGATCCCTGCAGTACCTATTGGTCACTGGCTGCCACTTAGCAAATAACATGTTTATTCCTTCTTTTTGTTTCCTGTCTCCCAGTCAGTTCATAATCCATTTCAATACATGACCTCCAATCCCATGAGCTACAATTTTACATGCTTATCTCTTACGTGGGACCTTATTGAATGCCTTCTGAAAAGCGAAATAAACTACATGGCTGCTCCCCACCTCCCAGAATCAACTCCACTAGTTACATCCTCACAAAATTCCAGTCGATTTGACAAACGTGATTTCTCACAGTAAATTCCTGCTGTTTTTGTCCAATCCAGTCACTGTTTTCCAAGTGCTCTCCTGTTGAATCTTTTGTAATAAACTCCATCATTTTCCCCATTACTGGTAGCAGACTAACTGGTCTACCATTCCCTTTTTCACCTCTTAAGTTTATTTTAAAATAGTGGGATTACATTGGTTTCCTTCCAAACCATAGTTCCTGAGTCTGTAGAATCTTGAAAGATGACTACCAACGCATCCACTACTTCTCAGGCCACTTCTGTAAGTGAGCTGTTTTCTAAAACAACTTGAGTCCATTTGACAACTTTTTGGTGGGACTAGGACAGGGCAACATTACTAGAAGGATGTCTATGTGCAGCAAAAGCATCTGCATGAAGTGATTGTGTTGAGTGGCTTTATCCATCGATATGGTGTCTGTTATTCTCTTCAAGCTTTTTATTGCTTTATTTTCAGGGGCGATTTGGCTTATTTTGATGGACTGAGTGAAACGATTCTCTCGGTGGGACTAGTAAAACCTAGACGAGGTAAATCACCTGTTCTGATCCCAAATTCTGAGGAGCACAGCCAGATACCAGAAAACTGCTTGTCATTCTTTGCAATCCAAACCCAGAACGGCTGTTTACCTGGAGTCCGAGTTGATTTTTTTAACACACTGTCACAGAAGCATGGGGCTGAGACTTCATTACCCTCCCTCTATGGCCACGTTAAGTATGTGTTCCTCTCTGTGGGTACAACTGGAGATTGCTGCTCAGGATAGGGCGATGGACTGGACACTGCTGCTTGTGATGAAATCTATGACAAAAGTAGATCTGGTTTGATGAATGGCTGTCAATATTCTTGAATGAATCTGTTTGTTTCAGATGCTAGGGATGGACTGTGCCATTGTGTGTCTGATCCTGACATTAGGTCCAGTGCATCTGTTCAGCTTTGTAATGAAAATTCTAACTTGTGTTTCTAGGCATATTCCAGCCTCACATCCAACAGCTCCTTGTACTGACCACTCCTGTTGACATTGTGATCCTGGGAGTCAGCTTCACCAATTCTCAGACAGGTGCAGAAATTATTTCAAACCTTTTAATGGAACACTGGCCTTTGTATTCTAATGCTTAACTAGAATGCTTCATTCAGTTCTGAGCACTGCATTTAAGGAAGCATGTGAAGGCATTAAACAAGGTGCGGAGAATATTCACCAGAATGGTTCTGAGGTGAACAGTTTCACTTCTGTGGACTGATTTGGACAAACAGGGGCAGACCTCCTTGGAGAAGGAGATTTGATTCAAAATCATGAGGGGTCTGTACAGAATATTTGGGAAGAAACTATTCCTATGTTGGAAGGATCTGGAACTAGACAATGGCAGTTTCAGATCATTGGTGGCAAGAGGGACAGCAACAGCAGGAAAAGAATTTTCCATAGTCCATGGTTAGGGTCTAAAATGCACTGCCTGACAGTGTGGTGGAGGCAGGTTCAACTGCAGGTTTTAAATGGAAATAAGATCATTATCTGAAGGGGAAAACAGCTTGCAGAGCTCCATGGAAAAAGCAGGGGAATGGAAGCAGCTGCATTGCTTTTTCAGGGAGCTGGAAAGGACAAGGTCGGAAGGGCCTCCTGTAACTATTCTGTAATCCTCTGATTCAGCGATAAACAGCTGTAATTAAGCTTCAGGGAGGTGGTGGCCTAATGGTATTATGGCTGGACTGTTATTCCAGAGAAAATCTAGAATTAAGAGTCTTATGATGACCATGAATCTATTGACGATTGTCAGAAAAAACTATCTTGTTCACTCATGTCCTTTAGGGAAGGAAACTACCATCCTTACCTGATTTTTTTTCTTTACTTGTTAATGGGATGAGGGCGTCGCTGACCAGGCAGCATTTATTGCCCATCTCTAATTGCCCAGAGGGCAGTTCAGAGTCAACCACGTTGCTGTGGGTCGAGCATCACATGTAGGCCAGACCAGGTAAAGACGGCAATTTCCTTCCCTAAAGGACATTAGTGAACCAGATGGGTTTTTCCGACAATCAGCAATGGATTCATGGTCATCATTAGATTCTTAATTCCAGGTATTTTATTGAATTCAAACTCTACCATCTGCCATAGCGGGATTCGAACCTGGATCCCCAGAATGTTATCTGGGTCTCTGGATTAACAGTCCAGCAATAATACCACTAGGCCATTGCCTCCCCTGACATAGATGTGACTCCAGACCCACAGCAATGTGGTTGACTCTTGACTGCCCTCTGAGCAATTAGGGATAGGAAGTAAATGCTGGCCTCGGCAGTGGCGCCCTCATCCCGTGAATGAATGTAAAAAGTTCTGGCACACTAATATGCTCTAATAGTTATAGGTGTGGTGTGAAACTTGCAGGAAGCAGCGTCATTTGACCTGAACGTTGATGAAATGAGGCAGTGCTGGGTAAGCTAATGGGGCTAAAGGTAGACAAGTCTCCTGGCCCTGATGAAATGCATCCCAGGGTATTAAAAGAGGTGATGGGGGAAATAGCAAATGCACTAGTAATTATTTACCAAAATTCACTGGACTCTGGGATGGTTCCCGCAGATTGGAAAACAGCCAATGTGACGCCATTGTTTAAAAAAGGAAGTAGACAAAAAGCAGGTAACTATAGGCCAGTTAGCTTAACTTCGGTAGTGGGGAAAATGCTTGAATCTATCATTAAGGAAGAAATAGCAAGACATCTGGATATAAATTGTCCCATTGGGAACACCCAGCATGGCTTCCTGAACGGTAGGTCATGTTTAACTAATTTGGTGGAATTCTTTGAGGACATTACTTGCATGGTGGACAATGGGGAACCTCTGGATGTGGTGTATCTGGATTTCCAGAAGGCATTTGACAAGGTGCCACACCAAAGGCTGCTACATAAGATAAAGTTACACGGTATTACAGGTAATGTATTGGCATGGATAGAGGATTGGTTGACTAGTAGAAAGCAAAGAGTAGGAGTAAATGGGTATTTTTTTGGTTGGCGGTCAGTGGCTAGTGGTGTGCCTCAGGGATCAGTGTTGGGACTGCAAGTGTTGGGACTGCAATTGTTTACAATTTACATAGATGATTTGGAGTTGGGGACTAAGTGTGGTGTGTCAAAATTTGCAGATGACATTAAGGTGAGTGGTAGAGCAAAGTGTGCAGAAGACACTGAAAGTCTGCAGAGTCTATAGATAGTCTAAGTGAGTGGGCAAAGGTCTGGCAGATGGAGTACAATGTTGATAAGTGTGGGGTCATCCATTTTGGTAGGAATAACAGCAAAATGGACTATGTTTTAAATGGGAAAAAATTGCAGCACGCTGCTGTGCAGAGGGACTTGGGTGTCCTTGTGCATGAATCGCTGAAGGTGGGATTGCAGGTGCAGAAGGTGATTAAAAAGGCAAATGGAATTTTGTCTGTCATTGCTAGAGGGTTAGAGTTTAAAAACAGGGAGGCTATGCTGTAGCTGTATAGGGTTCTGGTGAGGCCACACCTGGAGTACTGTGTGCAGTTTTTGTCTCCTTACTTGAGAAGAGATATACTAGCACTGGAGGGGGTGCAGAGGAGATTCACTCAGTCGATTCCAGAGTTGAGAGGGTTGGATTATGAGGAGAGACTGAGTAGGCTGGGATTATACTCATTGGAATTCAGAAGAATGAGGGGAGATCTTATAGAAACATATAAGATTATGAAGGGAATAGATAAGGTGGAGGCGGGGTGGTTGTTTCCGCTAGCAGATGAAACTAAGACTAGAGGGCATCGCCTCAAAATAAAGGGAAGCAGATGTAGTACTGAGGTCAGGAGGAACTTCTTCACCCAAAGAGTTGTGAATCAGTGGAATTCCCTGCCCAGTGAATGGTTGAAGCTACCTCACTGAATGTTTTTAAGGCAAGGCTAGATAAATGTTTGAACAGTAAAGGAATTAAGGGTTATGGTGAGTGGGCGGGTAAGTGGAGCTGAGTCTCAAAGATCAGCCATGATCTTATTAAATGGCGGGGCAGGCTCGAGGGGCCAGATGGCCTACTCTTGCTCCTGGTTCTTGTGTTCGAAATGCCTGTGCTTCCAATCTCCGAAGCCTGGGTGTCTGTTTTTGAAGGCTAGCACCAGGCACTCTGAAAAACTGCACGTGAGCAAGCTTCCAGAGCCACATGTGTCTAGATTTCTGATACTGTGCATGCAGTATGAAAAACGTGGGTGTGCCATGGAATTAGAACAGAAAGAAATACTGCACAGGAGCAGGCACTTCAGCCCTCCAAGCCTGCGCTGACTCATTTTGCCCTGCCATATTAAAACTATCTTCACTTACAGGATCCAAATCCCTGTCTTCTTTTCCTGTTCATGTATTTGTCCAGGTGCTTTGTGAATGCTGCTGTTGTGTCTGCATCCACCACCTCCTTTGGCAACACGTTCCAGACACTTAGCACCTGCGATAGGTGAAAAAGTTGCCTCACACATCTTCTTTAAACTGAACCCCTGCAGTGCACCCCCCTGCCCCCCACACACCGTAAAACCTGTGTCTTAGTAATTGACCCCTCCACCCCGGGGAAAAAATCTCTATCCATGCTATTCACTAACTTATAAACTACTATCAGATTGCCCCTCAACCTCTTCGTTTCAATAAAACCAAACCCAGCCTTTCCAACCTTTCGTCGTAGCTAAAATCCCTCATACTCGGCAATGTCCTGGTAAATCCTTTCAAAAGCACCCACATCCTTCTGGTAGTGTGGTGACAAGAACTGTGTGCAATATTGCAAGTGTGGCCTAACTGAAATTCTATAAAGCTGCAGCATAACTTGTCTATCCTTGTACTCAATGCCCCTTCCAATGAAGGCAAGCATGCCACTGGCCTTTTATATAACCTTATCTACCTGCTCTGTCACCTTCAGTGATCTGTGGACCTGCACATCTGGATCCGGCTGCAAATCAATACCCCTAAGAGTGCTGCCATTCACTGTATAATTTTCACCCGTATTTGCACTTCCAAAATGCATCACCTCTCATTTGTCCAGATTAAACTCCATCTGCCATTTTTTTGCCCATGCCTCCAACTGCACTGTATCCTGCTGTATCTTCTGATAGGCCTCCTCAATATCCACAACACCACCAATCTGTTATCTCATTGAATTCTGCTTTGATGTGAAAAGGTTTGGTTAGACCACTGGATGGTGACTCTTGTATGAAGTGGTGTTGTCTAAAAATTATAGGCAGACCCTTCCAAAGTGAAGTTTGGAAATGCTTTCCACACACTCGTAACGGTTGAAATATGGCACCCTCCTGCAAACGGCAATCAATGCTGTTATATTCCCAGCTGATGAAATTATTGGACATGTCAGATACTACGCATATCCAGTCAGGAATTTTTAAACTAAATTCCTGATAGTGAAAATAACCTTTCTCTTGGTAGTTGTAAATCTCCTTCCTTGTCTCAGGAGCATATGTTTTACATATCCTGGTTCAACCAAGGCTTATGCAAATTACCCAAAACTGAAGCTGAAGAATTTTTACCCCAGCTATTGGTGTTTCTCCAAGCTCGAAAAAAACAATTTCAGCATCTTTAAATTGAATGTCTAATGCGCTGGACTATTTTCTTCATACAACCATAAACTCTCCCAATATAAATAAAACCTAATTATTCTCATTTATGTGTCTCTCTAATACTGTTAAAGTAAGTCACCATGGCTAGAGAGATACTTCAAGTTAATCATTAAACCTCTTCAGACACACGCACACAATCTGTGTGCCACTTCCTCAAAATTGAAACATCTGAAATGTATGATGTTACGTCGTATTTTAATTGTATCTTACAGCACAATGCATGCTTAGTTGTTAAATTTTAAGTCTGATATTAATGGATTTCTGTTATCCAAAAATATTGACAACCAGGTTGGTACCAGGTTGGAGTTAGCTGCAGTTAAGCCATGATCTTGTTGAATGGCAAAACACACTTAGGACTAAATATTTTGTTTTAAGCTTCAGATTGATCCCCTCACTGCAATGTGTGGGCTGGCTGGTTATGTTTAAGAACTAAGGTGATGCAGAGCTTTCTGGACATCTGTATCAGTAATTACCTACTTGCCTTGGGTCACAGAGTTAGGGAGATCAACAGTACAGAAGAAGACCCTTTGGCCTGTTGTCTGCACCAGTCAAAAAAGCATACACAATTCTAATCCCATTTTCTAGTACTTGATCCATAGCCTTGGCACCACAAGTGCACATCTAACCACTTCTTAAATGTAGTGAGGGTTTCTGCTTCTACCGCACTTTTAGGCTGAGAGTTCCAGATTCCCAACACCCTCCAGGTGAAAATGTTTTTTGACATATCTCTTCTAAGCCTTCTGCCCCTTAAATGTATGCTCCTGTCATTGATCCCTCAGTCAAGGGATAAAATTTCTTCCTATTTTGCCCCCATAATGTTGGACATTTCAATCAGGTCCCCTCTCAGTCTCTTCTGCTTTAAGGAAAACAGCCCCAGTCTGGCGAAAATGAAAAGAGAAATAGGTGGAGAAAGGGGTGGTGTGAGGAGCGGCATGGTGGCTCAGTGGTTAGCACTGCTACCTCAAGGTATCACGGTCCCAGGTTCATTTCCAGCCTTGGGCATCTGTGTGTGTGGAGTTTGCATGTTGTCCCTGTATCTGTGTGGCTTTGCTCTGGCTCTCAAGCTTTTTTCCCCATAGCCCAAAGATGTGGTGGTTAGGTGTATTGGCCATAGTAAATGTGGGGTTGCAGGGATAGGGTTGTGGGCTAGGTCTGGGTGAGATGCTGTTTGGAGGGTTGGTGCAGACTCAGTTAGCCTCTTTCTGCACTGTCGGATCCTATGACTCAACAGATCGGGCAGCATCTGTGGAATGAAAGCAAAGTCGATGTTTAGGGTCTGGTGAACCTTCTGCAGAACTGTTTGCCCAATCTCTCTCTGTAACTTAAACTGTTCAGCCAGGCAATATCCTCTGCACCCTCTTCACTGCTATCACATCCCTCCTATAAAGTGGCCATCAGTGTGGCTTTGTGGAAAGCAAAACTGAAATGAGGTTTTATTATATCTGCAATAATTCACTTGCTTTTTTCCTAAGGACTGGGAATCCTAAGCGACAATATATGTGGAGGGATGCAACTCCTACCAGATCCCCTGTACTCTATTCCCACGGACAATACCTATCTACTGGCAATCACTGCCACAGATACTGGCCGTATATTCCTTGCTGGAAAAGATGGCTGTCTATATGAAGTTGCCTATCAGGTAAATTTTTCTCTTGCTGCTCGTGACCATTGCTACATTGTAGTTTATAATTGCATAAAGCGTGTATTGGTCTCATAGAGATTAAGGCTGGGGAATTAATCATGAAACCAAGGAAATAGCAGAAGCAGTGAACAGATATTGTGTTTGTCTTCGCTGTTGAACACCCAGTAATGTGCGAAGAATACTTAAATTATGAGGTAAAATGGAGAGAGAAACTTAGATTAGAAGAAGTAGGAACAGGACTAAGCTATTTGGCCCCTTGAGCCTTCTCCTCCACTTTGTATCCTTTTCCCTGTCACCCTTGATTCCCCTACTGATCAAGAATCTGTCTATCTCAGTCTTAAATATATACAAGGACACAGCCCCCACAAGGAATTGTGAAGGCTCGACCCTCAGAGAGAAGAAATTCTCCTCATCTCAGTCTTAAATTGGTGCCCAGAAACAAAAACAGAAGTTGCTGGAAAACCTGAGCAGATCTAGCAGCATCTGTGAAGAGAAATCAAAGTTAATGTTTCAGGTCAGTGACCTTTTCTCAGAACTGAAATGGGCTGTTCAGCCCAGTGAATCTGACCAACCATTCAATGAGATCATAGATAATCTGATAATTTGCAGCTCCATTTTTTTGCCTTTTCCCCAAAACCCTTCATTCCTTACTGATTAAAAATCTGTCTATCTCAGCCTTGAACATATATAACAACCCTTACAGCTTTGACAACTGCGGCAAAGAATTTCACAGACTCACTCCCTACTGAGAAAAGATATTCCTTCACATCTCTGTTGTAAATGTGTGATCACTTGCTCTAAGATTATGCCCTCTGGTCCCAGACCCTCCCACAACCTTTCCACATCTATCCTGTCGAGTTCCCTGAGAATCTTGTGTGTTCAATAAGGTCACCTTTCATTCTTTTACATTAAAACTAGTACAGGCCCAGTCTTTTCAACCTGTCCTCATAGGAATGTTCCTCCCTACCTGGTATTAGCTTAATGAACCGTTTTCTGGACTGATTCCAATGTCGTCATATCTTTTCCTGTTTGAGGGACCCAAAACTCTTCAGTATCCAAGTCGTGATCAACAAGTACCATGTACAATTTTAGCAAAACCTTCATTCTCTTTGGAATAAAGGCCAACATTCAATTTGCCTTCCTTATTGCCTGCTGAACTTGGATGCAGTTTGTGATTTATAAACAAGGACTCCCAAATTCCTCGTCTGTCACTTTCTGCAGTCTTTATCCATTTAAATAATACTCTGCTCCTCTTTTTTTTGCCAAACTGCCTAACATCAAATTTCCCTATATTATTTATTTTTCTTTATTCATTCACGGGATGAGGGCATTGCTGGCTAGGCAGCATTTATTGCCTATCCCTAATTGCCCAGAAGGCAGTTAAGAGTCAACCACGTTGCTGTGGGTCTGGAGTCACATGTAGGCCAGACCAGGTAAGGATGGCAGTTTCTTTCCCTAAAAGACACTAGTGAACCAGATGGGTTTTTCGCAACAATCAGCAATGGATTCATGGTCATCATTAGAATCTTAATTCCAGATATTTATTGAATTCAAATTCCACCATTTGCTGTGGCAGGATTCAAACCCAGGTCCCAAGAACATTATCTGGGTTCCTCGATTAACAGTTCAGCGATAATACCACTAGGCCACTGCCTCCTCTGCCGTCTGTTGATTTGTGCCCACTCGCTTAACCTGTCTGTATTCCTCTGCAGACTCCACGTGATCCAAAGTAAGGTTAAATCTTATGGGATCTAGGGAGGGCTAGCCAATTGGATATAAATTGGCTTGAAGGTAGAAGACAGAGGGTGGAGGCTGGTGGCCAGCAGGGTGTCATGGGGATTGGTGCTGGGTTCACTGTTATTCGTCATTTATATAAATGATTCAGATGAGAATTTAGGAGGTTACTAAGTTTGCGATGACACAGAGATTGGTGATATAGTGGACAGTGAAGAAGGTTATCTGGGAATACATCACGATCTTGATGGTCTGGGCCAATGGGCTGAGGAATGGCAGATGGAATTTAATTTAGATAAATACAAGATGTTGCACTTTGGTAAGGCAAACCAGGGCAGAACTTACACAATCATTGTTAGGGCCATGGGCAGTGTTATACAACAAAGAGATGTGGGATACAGGTTGATAGGTCCTTGAAAATGGTGTCGGGGTAGACAGGGTGATGAATTTTTTTGGCATGCCTACCTTTATCAGTCAGAGAATTAAGTACAAGAGTTGGGAGGTCTTGTTGCAGCTGTGCAAGAGATTGGTGAGGCCACATTTGGAGTACTGTGTGTAGTTCTGGTCTCTCTACTATAGAAATAATATTATTGCCAAAATTATTAAACTATAAAGAGTGCAGAAAAGATTTACTAAGATGCTACCTGGACTGGAAGGTTTGACATATAAGGGGAGGATGGATAGGCTGGGATTTTTTTTCCCCTGGAGTGTAGGAGACTGAGGGGTGACCAAATAAAGGTGTATATCATCATGAGTGGCATAGATAAGGTAGATAGCCAACAACTTTTCCCAATGGTAAGGGAACGTAAAACTGGAAGGCGTAGGTTTAAGGTGAAAGGGGAAAGATACAAAAGGGTCCAGAGGAGCAGTTTGTTCTCACAGAGGGTGGTGAGTGTTTAGAATGGGGTACCTGAGGTAATAGAACATAGAACAGTACAGCACAGTACAGGCCCTTCGGCCCAGGATGTTGTGCTGAACTTTTACCCTATACCTAAGGTCTATCTAACCTCCACTGCTACCTTATACTATCATCCATATGCCTATCTAATAGCCGCTTAAATGCCCCTAATGAGGCCGACTCCACTACCCTCTCCGGCAGGCTCGGTGGGCTGGCCATGCTAAATTGCCCATAGTGTTCAGGGATATGTAGATTAGGGGGATGAGTCTGGGTGGGATGCTCTGAGGGTTGGTATGGACTTGTTGGGCCAAAGGGCCTGTTTCCACACTGTAGGGATTCTATGATCTTGGTGGAGAAAGTACAGTTTTGTCTTTCAAGAAACATTTGCACAATTACATGGATGGAATAGGTATGGAGGGATATGGACCAAACACAGGCAAATGGGACTGGATTAATTGTGAAAGCTGGGTGCATGGACAAGTTGGGACTATGGGTTGTTTCCATGCTGTAGACCTCTATGACTGGCTTAGTCATAGGTGGAAGCTTTTTGGAATGGAGGTTTGTGACTGGTGGTGTTCCACAAGGATCAATGCTGGGACCTCTACTGTTTGTGGTCTACATAAATGATTTGGAGGAAACCGTGACTTGGCCTAATTAGTAAGTTTGTGGATGATACAAAGATTGGTGGGGTTGCAGATAGTGAGGAGGATTGTCAGAGTATACAGCAGGATGTTGATCAGTTGGAGGCATGTGCAGAAAAATGGCAGATGGAGTTTAATCAGGACAAATGCGAGGTGATGCATTTTGGAAGGTCAAGTACAGATGGAAATTCTGCAGTGAATGGCAGAACCCTTAGGAGTATTGATATGCAGAGGGATCTGCGTGTACAGGTCCTTGGATCACTGAAGGTGGCAGCGCACGTAGATAAGGTAGTAATAAAAGGCCTATGGCATGCTCCTCTTCATTGAAAGAGGCACTGAGTATAAGGATAGACAAGTTATGCTGCAGCTGTATAGAACTTTAGTTAGGCCACACTTGGAATATTGCATACAGTTCTGGTCACTACACTAACAGAAGGATGTGATGCTTTAGAAAGGGTACAGGAAAAGTTTATCAGTATGTTGCCAGGTATGGGGGATGTTGGCAATGAGGAAAGGTTGGCTAGGCTGGGTTTGTTTTCACTGGAACACAGGGTGACCTGAGAGAAGTTAATAAGATTGTGAATGGCATGGATAGAGTGGAAAGTATGAGGCTTTTTCCCAGAGTGGAGAGATCAGTTACTAGGGGACGCAGGTTCAAGGTGTGGGGAGCAGGGGAGTGTAAAAGAGATGTTTGAGGCAGGTGTTTCACAAATGGTGGTGAGTGCCTGGAACGCACTGCCAGAAGAGGTGGTGGAAGCCAACACAATAGCAGTGTTCAAGAAACATCTAGACGATTACATGAATAGGAAGAGAATAGAGGGATACAGAGCCTCTAAGGGAAGACAGTTTTAATATTGAAGGGCAAAATGTGTCGGTGCAGACTTGGAGAGCTGAATGACCTGTTCCTGTGCTGTATTGTTCTCTGTTCTTTGACTCTATCTTCATCATTTGACTTCCCATCTATTTTTGTGTCATCCACAAACTTGGCTCTAGAACATTCAGTTTCCTCATGTAAGTCATGAATATATCTTGTAAATAGTTGTGACTCAAGTACTTATCCCAGTGGCACTCCACTAGTTATAGGTTGCTGTCCTGAAAATGGCATTCTTATCCTAAATCTCTACCTTCCATTTGTTAGCAAATCCTCTCTACATGCTAATACGTAGCATCAACACCATTGACTGTTGTCTTACAAAGCAGCATAATGTGTGGTAATGTCTGAAAATCCAAATATATTACATCACTGCTTCCCCTTTATCTATTCTGCTTGTTACCTCCTCAAAGAATTCTACTGATTTCCTCTTCATGAAGATATGCTGACTCTGCTTAATCGTATTATGCATTTCTAAATGCTCTGCTATTATATCCTTTTTGGACTCCAAATTTTTCCCAAAACAGATGTTAAGCTCACTGACTGATAGTTATCTGTTTTTTTTGTCTCCATTCCTTTTTAAATGAAGCTGTTTATTTGGCAGTTTTCCAATCCTGAATGAGTTTTCCACAGTCTAAGGATTATTGAAAGCTTACCTGTACATCCAATATCTCTGTAGCTACCTCCTTGAATACCCCAGAGTGCATCCCATCAGATCCAAGGGACATACTGGTCTTTAGCCCCATTAATTTCTCGAGCATAGCAGTTTTTCTGTAGTGATAAGTATTGTCTTTATTTCCTCTCCATCTCCTCCTTGATTATGTTACAATTTTGGAATGCTATTAGTTTTTTCTAATGTGTAGACTGAAGCAAGTATTTATTCAGGCTTCAATTAGTACAAGATCATAAGATATAGGAGTAGAATTATGCCATTTGGCTCTTGAAGTCTGCTCTGTCATTTAATCATGGCTGTGTTTCTCAACCCATTCTCCTGCCTTCTCCCCATCACCTTTGATCCCCTTACTAAGAAAGAATTTATCAATCTCTATCTTGAATGTATTCCTAGACTTGGCATCCATAGCCCTCTGCGGCAGTGAGTTCCACTGATTCACCACCCTCTGGCTGAAGAAATTCCTCTTTGTCTCAGTTTGAAAGGGTTGCCCCTTCACTCTAATGTTGTGCCCTTTGGTCCTGATCTCAGCTACTTCCACTTCTCCAAGTCCACTGTACCAAAGCCTTTTAGAATTCTGTAAGTTTCATCCTTGGCGGGGCACATGTGAGGGGCTGAGTGGTCTATTTCTGCTCTGAATTCGTAAGTTTCTGTGCCGGCTGCACATCTCAAGGAAGAATGGTATATGTTAATGCTATTGCAACAATAGCAGGTCAGAGGCAAGGAACCCTGCTGTGAGTCACCATCTGCTCTACCATCTGCAAGGCACAAGTCCAGAGTGTGATAGAATATTCCCCATTTGTGTGGGAGTCTACAGCTTCAGTGATCATAGAATCCCTACAGTGTGGAAACAGGCCCTTTGGCCCAACAAGTCCATACCAACCCTCAGAGCATCCCACCCAGACTCATCCCCCTAATCTACATATCCCTGAACACTATGGGCAATTTAGCATGGCCAGCCCACCGAGCCTGCCGGAGAGGGTAGTGGAGTCGGCCTCATTAGGGGCATTTAAGCGGCTATTAGATAGGCATATGGATGATAGTGTAAGGTAGCGGTGGAGGTTAGATAGACCTTAGGTATAGGGTAAAAGTTCAGCACAACATCCTGGGCCGAAGGGCCTGTACTGTGCTGTACTGTTCTATGTTCTATGTTCTATCTTTGTGCTGTGGGAGGAAACCGGAGCACCGAGAAGAAACATGCAGACATGGGGAAAATGTGCAAACTCCACACAGACAGTCACCCAAGGGTGGTATTGAACCCAGGTTCCTGGCGCTGTGAGGCAGCAGTGCTAACCACTGAGCACAGGAAGCTTGATTGACACCCCATCCACTGCCTCAAATCATTGTGATTGTGATGGCAATCACCTCATCACCAGCAAAGCTGAGTAACAACTGTGTGTGCTATCTAAAAGGTGTACTGCTGCAAATCAAGGCTCCTCATTAGCACTTTGCAAACCTTTGACATCAAGTACTACATTGGAATAGCAAAGACAGCAAATATATGGGGACATCATGACCTGCAAGTTCCCCCTCCAAAATACACTCACCATTTGACTTGGAAGTGTGTCACTGATCCTTCATTGTGGATGGGTCAAAATCCTCCAATCCCACAGCATTGGTGGCATGCAACAGTTCAAGAAAGCAGCTCATGACTACCTTGCTAACAGCAAATATGAACAGGTAATAAGTGCTGGCCCAGCCAGCAGCACCTACATCTAGTGAACAATAAAAATGTTGAGATGGTCACAGTGGTTATGATTGAAAATTTTGAGTTGCTTTTTGTTTAACAATCTGATATCCTTGATTTTGCAGGCTGAGGCTGGTTGGTTTAGCCAGCGATGTAGGAAGATAAATCACTCCAAGAGTTCTCTTTCCTTCCTTGTTCCCTCGTTTCTGCAGTTCACCTTCTCTGAAGATGGTAAGTAAAATGCAAAAACTGATTGTGGGCTAGACTGCAATACTGAATGGACAGTTATGTCTCTTAGTAGCCTTTGAAAGGCACGGGACTTGCTTGGTGACTTCACAGCCTCCAAGTGGATGAATTAGTTCTGCAAATAGATAGAAACCGATATGGTATGTTTGAGATATCGGATGCGGGGCCACAGGGTGACCAGGGATTGGAAGTGATTATCCAAGGGTATTCGTTAGGAAGGATGGACTGAAAGGAGGAGGAGATGGGACAACATTGTTGACGAAAAAGATAAATTCACACGATAGTGACGAAGAGTATGAACTCCAATGAAGTAGCGTCTATATAGGTAGAGCTTAGAAACCTTGGAGCAGAAAACAATAAAGGGTGTTGTATAAAGATTGTCAAACTGTCGTCATAATGTTGGGGAAGACATTAAACAGGAAAATAGAGACACATGCCAGAAAGATACGGCTGTAATTATGGTTGACTTTAATGGACATATAGTTAGGACAAACCAAATCAGTAACAATGCCATTGAGGAGGAATTCCAAAAATGTGTGCAGGATGGTTTTCTGAACCAATACTTTGAGGGACCAACCAGAGAACATGCCATCCTGGGAAATGAGAAAAGAATAGTTGACAACCTAGCTGTGCAAGACCCTCGGGGGAAAAAAGTGACCATAATAAAGCATTTTTCATTAAAATGGAGAGTGATGTAGTTGATTCTGAGAATATGGTCCTGAATCTAAATAAAGAAACTACAATGGCCTGTGGTGCGAACTGGCTATGATGAATTAAGGAGCATTACTTGACGACGATGGTGGACAGGCTATGGCAAACATTTAAAGAGCGCATAAAGGAACTGTAACAATTGTTCTTTCCTGTCGAGCACAAAAATAAAATGGAAAAGTTGGCCTGACTGAGTTAACAAGGGAAATTATGATTTGTATTAGATCCAAGCAAGGGGTATATAAACTGTCAAAGAAAGCAGCAGACTTGAGGATTGGGCGCAATTAATAATGATCATAGTTGTTCATCCAACTCAGTACCCTGTTCCTGCTTTGTCCCTACACCTTTTGATTCCTTTAGGCCAAAGAATTATATTGAACTCCTCCTTGAAAACATTTAGTGTTGGGTCTCAGCTGCTTTCTGTGGCAGAGATTTCCCCAGGCTCAGAACTCGCTGGGTGAAGAACTTTCTTCTCATCCCTGTATCCTTAGACTGTGATCCCTAGTTGTGGACTCCTTACTCATTGGGAGCATCCTTCCTGTGTTTACCCTGTTTTGTCCTATAAGAATCTTAAAGGTTTCAGAGAGATCACCCCTCATTCTTCTATCCCTCTTTTCTTATCAACTTTACTCCAACCGGATAAACAACCATTAATTTTCCTACCATTTTCTTTCATAGACCGCATTAGGGAAGTGGAGCTGGAGCTGGATGAACTCCAGATCATTCGGGAGGCTGAGGGGGTGATAGGGAGGAGTTATAAGGATGTGGTCACACCCAAGGTACAGGACAAAGGCAGATGGGTAACTGTCAGGAGGGGGAAAGGGAATAGGCAGAGAGTGCAGGGATCCCCTGTGGCCGTTCCCTTTAATAATAAGTATACTGCTTTTAATACTGTTGGGGGGCGATGACCTACCAGGGGAAAGCCATAACGGCCAGGTCTATGGCACTGAGCCTGGCTCTGGGGCTCAGAAGGGAAGGTGGGAGAATAGGAGAGCTATAGTAATAGGAGATTCACTGGTTAGGGGAACAGACAGGAGATTCTGTGGTACCTAGCAAGACTCCCGGATGGTATGTTGCCTCCTGGGTGCCAGAGTCAGGGATGTCTCAGATCGGATCTTCAGGATTCTTAAGCGGGAGGGAGAGCAGCCAGAAGTCATGGTACACATCGGTACCAATGACATAGCTAGGAAGCGGGATGAGGACCTGAAAAGTGATTATAGGGAGTTAGGATGGAAGCTGAAAGCTAGGACGAGTAGAATAGTAATCTCAGGATTACTACCGGTGCCACGGGCTAGTGAGGCTAGAAACAGAGAGAGTGCGCAGCTGAAGATGTGGCTACAGAGCTGGTGTAGGAGGGAAGGCTTCAGGTTTGTGGATCATTGGGATACCTTCGGGGGAAGGTGGGACGTGTACAGGAAGGATGGGTTGAACCTGAATTGGAGGGGCACCAATATCCTGGGTGGGAAGTTTGCTAGAGCTCTTCGGGAGGATTTAAACTAGTTTGGCAGGAGGATGGGAACCAGAGCTACAGATCAGAGGATGGGGTAGCCAGTGTACAGACAGACAGAGCAAGCAGAGAGTCTGAGGGAGGATAAGCAGTTGATAGGGCAAAGTGGCAGTCAGTGTGACTGGTTGAGGTGTGTCTACTTCAATGCAAGAAGTGTCAGGAATAAGGGTGACAAACTTAGAGCATGGATCAGTATTTGGAACTACGATGTTGTGGCCATTACGGAGACTCTGATAACACAGGGGCAGGAATGGTTGTTGGATATTCCGGGGTATAGATGTTTCAAAAGAAATAGGGAGGGAGGTAAAAGAGGTGGGGAAGTGGCATTGCTAATCAGGGATGGTATCAGAGCTGCAGAAAGGGAGGTTGTAGAGGAGGGTTTCTTCAGGGAGTCAGTGTATGTGGAAGTCAGAAACGGTAAAGGAGCAGTCACTTTATTGGGAGTTTTCTATAGATCCCCCAATAGCAACAGGGACACAGAGGAACAGATTGGGAGACAGATTTTGGAAATGTGCAGAAGTAATAGGGTTGTTGTCATGGGTGACTTCAACTTCCCGAATATAGATTGGAACCTGCTAAGTGCAAATAGTTTGGATGGAGCAGATTTTGTCAGGTGTGTCCAGGAAGGATTTCTGACTCAATATGTCGATCAGCTGACTTGAGGGGAGGCCAATTTGGATTTGGTGCTTGGCAACGAACCAGGTCACGTGTCAAATCTCTCGGTGGGACAGCATTTCGGCGAAAGTGATCACAACTACCTGACATTTACTATAGTCATGGAGAGGGATAAGAGCAGACGGTATGGGAAAGTATTTAATTGGAGGAGGGGGAATTACAATGCTATTAGGCAAGAACTACGGAGCACCAACTGGGATCAGATGTTCTCAGGGAAACGCAGGATAGAAATGTGGAGGTTGTTTAGGGAGCAATTGCTACAGATACTGGATAGGTTTGTCCCACTGAGGCAAAAAGGATGGTATGGTGAAGGAACCTTGGATGACAAGACATGTGGAACACCCAGTCAAGAG